GAGTATATATCCCTGTCATACTGAATGCCAGACACTCTTCGATGTCACCAAGGATCACTGAAATTGCTTTTGCCTCCCTTAAGCCCTGTAGTGTCAGTACTAAACCTGCCCTGTGCAACTCCAGCTGAGATCCCCCAGTCACGCTGGCTATGGCAGACATCGTGCTGGAGAGATGGGACACTCCTTATGGCTTCCGAGGGTTGTGGTTTGCAGACTTCATGAGCCCTTGGGTGAAAAAGGCCTCACTGTTACTAGTCACTTTAATTAACACTTAATTCAAGCCACTATAAAGCAAAATGCAAACAAGCATTAATTCACTGTATCTAAAACAGACAGCACAGTTGCAAGTGTTTACCAAAGACATAGATGAGAAAATGAAGGAAAATGTAAGCTAAATCTGTTTATACTAAGATTACATCAGAAAGGTTTCTCTTTTCCTCACTCACTGATACGCCATTTCCTACCTGATAAAACTGTTGTCAAGCTTTTGGTTGCATATGTGCCTTCTCTTCTTCAGCAGGTAACATATCCTTCACATTCATATCCCTTCTGTAGCAACACGTACATCAGAACGATACAAAAACCAAACACGCAAGGGGGCTAACTGTATGAAACATATTAGCAGCTCTTGCCTGAGACTGAACTTGACTCTGATTAACATGCTGGAGTTGTTCATCTCCAGTCTCCTCATTTTATGCATGCTATGAAATCAGCAAAAGGCAGCAGAATCATCAATAAATGATGATCTTTCTGCATAGGTCCAATTCTTCGTTAGTTTAATAAAAACCCTAAGCTTCCAGTATTGTTATGCCAAGAATAAACACCTCATTTTGTCAAAATATAATCGATCATAGGTAATTCAAAACTTTAGAACCTGACTGCCAGGAAAATATTGATAAAGAATAAACCTGCATCCTTTCACCTTCTCTTATGGAAGGAAAAAAAAAAAAAACCAACACCCTCTCAGTAAAGCTTCCACAGTTCTCTCAACAAAGGTGAAGTTCCATTAAAAATTTGTCCACTTATAAGCCTTGTTAAAACAATACTTCTCAATCCACACCCTTGCTCTGGTTTCGCCATCTCATAGCTGTACTGATGCAACTATAAACCCATCTAACCAAAACGCAACTTCCAACATCTTTTACTTTTTCAGTGGTCCAATTCACAGCTGCATAAGCGTAACCAAGAGGTGAAGAATAAGCATCTGGCAGAAGGCATAAACCTTTAAGAGCAGCCATGCCACTGCAAAACAAATCAGTACAAAATCCATAGGGACCTACTTAGCAATTCTTACTCTGTGAGCTGTCGGAGAAAAAAAATTGCAGCAGATGCTATATAAACTAAAAATATTCGCTGTCCTTGCTTTTCAGAAAAACAGGAAGAAGTCCAAACAGTAACCCTGGGTTAGAGAGCAGCACCAAGATCCTAATCCTAATCAGATCAGCACAAGATTTGCCATATATGTCAGTTCAGGGGTTAGCACCCCTCTCCAAACACCTGCCCCCACAAAAATCTGAAACAAAAATTTTGTTTCAAGAAGAGTTCCTAAACCAGCCTCCCCACGATCACAAGCTCTGTAAGATGCAGAGAGCTATGAGCAACTTTGCTAAAACATTATGAATTACCAACGTATGCAGGCAAAAGGTCCTGTAGCAGGCCCAACTTGTCAAACGTAAGCCTTAGCACTATGAAATAATAGAATTTGCATCATGGAGAAGCTTGTTCTGTCCCTCCACATTATTTTCAGATGTCTCAGTTCAGCATTTAGGATCACCCCTTTCCCTTCACTACTTATTTGTTTACCTCGGCAAACAAAGATATTGCCTCCTGGTAAAAAGCTTTAATTGCAGTATGAACTGAACCACTAGATTTTTAAACTTCTGCTTTAAGTAAGGCGGCTTGATTCCAGCTTTTAACTGCTGAAGAAAAAGAGCAACTCATGTAGTTAACAAGCAATCCGGACAAGGCACAGAAAGAAAACCATGCCACAAGCTGTATACGGGAATGATCGAAGACAGGCAACATGCAACAGAGATGGTACAATAGCTTACTTTTTTTCTCTGCTCTGCATGTTCTGACAAGAAGTTTTGTGATACTCAGTGACTGGATTTAGAAACCCTTAAGAAAATCTGTATGTATTCACATCAAGAAGAATGCAAACACTAAAATAGCTAATTTGAACTCACAGCAGAACCTGTTATCAACTTGTAAAAATGTTCAGAGAGCTATTCACTGAAAATGCCACCTTTCCACGGTGTCAACAGAGAAGTTATTTTCAGCTAGTGAAAATGTTTTTCCCGAAATGCTGAAACATTTCCATTCTCATCAAAAAAGCAAGGTAATGAATATAAGTATTTTTAAGGACTCATAACAGGTCTAAAGAGAGCTCTTATATCAGTAAGCTCATATGCTAGGAGCAGGACTTGGTTTGCAAATAAGGGTCTGGTAACAAAACTATTTCTTTCAACTGGAACAGTTTCATATTGCAAAACTGTTTATATCAGCATAGTTTATTTCCTACACAGAAATAACCATAAAATAACATTACAATACAATAACTGCATGCCTATTATAATTCCATAATAATAGATGGGTTTATGTTTAATAATGTAACAGCACATTTAAAGCAGTACAGCATATGTTTATAGATAACCCCTGGATACTTATGGTGGAGCGCACTAGGCAGATTCTGCAAGACATTCCAAGGAAGATATTCATCAGGGTATGCCAGATCTGCTTGATACAATTATCTTTAAAATTCATGATGGGACTGGGCCCAAGGGCAAAGGCAACAAATATCAATTCCTTCATTCAACTACTTGGCTATAATATGCAGCATGAGCAAAAATAGAAGTATCCAAGAGCAAATCATTTGCATTCAACCAGACAGTGGCACCAGGGTGTTTGGTGAACAAAGCAGGAATTTTGGCAGGTATTTGTTCAATTGCTCAGCTGTCATTTATGTTCCAGCAGAGTAAGTAGCCTGGTCTAAAACTTGTGTGAATATACTAATAAGTTGAGTAACTTTACTAGGAAACTCAGCTCCAAGTCAGTGCAGAGTTAAACTGATCTTCTGTTTCAGACAAATGAAGCTTCACTGGTGTAGGAATCCATGTGTTGTCACTACCAGTCAATAAAAATGAATTTAAGCCCTGTCAGGCCAGACTCTAAGTCCATGCCTGAAAATAGTACAAGCGTATCCAGCTAAATCAAGGAAGTTTTTAACGTCTGGACTCATTTGAGTTCTGAAAACAAAGGCAATAAAGGAGCAGACAAAATTGTCAGTGGGACAACTTAATATTAACCAAGTCTCAGTACACACAAGGTACAGTTTATATCCGTGATACCAATAGGTCATCTGAGATGCTGAGAAAGTTACACAAAACATAGAGCAAGTCAGCGGCAGAACCTGAAATTAAAGAGCCAATAATTTTGATGACCCATACAGTACTACAAGAGCTATCTCAAGCGGCACTTTCCAACTCACCCAAAGCACCTGCCTGAAAGGTTGTCAATACACAGTTCCAGTTGATGATGGGAAAGACTGCAGTGCTTCCTCCTTACTGCCACAGACCCCTGAACGTATCACTGGCTCAAAAAAGTGACATGAATTAGTGAATAAGGAGAAAGGAAGTGAAAGTTATAGCAAGTCTTACTCCTGATCTTGAAAACTGCAGCAGACGCATCAGGCATGCGACAGAGTACCAGTATTCTTCTCCCTCTGCCCAATTCATGCAAGTAGACACACAAAATGCTTTCGGATAGCCATCTAGAGCACCCAGGCCAGCAATGAAAACGTTCAGGGCAAAGGGAAACGATCTTATGTTGGTTAAAACAGAACAGTGGACTGACTCTCTCAGTTTAGCAATGACTGAGATTTAGAAGCAGTGACAGCATAGCAAGGGATAACTGACAAAGTTACCTCTCAGCTGGTTACGCTACACTATGCATAAACAAGCAATTTCAAATGCATTGATCAGGCTATTTAATACGCTTTGGTGAAAAGTCTTCAGATTCAGAAACTGCTTTTTCAATTCATGTTGGGGAAAAAAAGCATGTTTTTATACAGTTAAGTTGGAGCTTTAAAGAAGTAGCTGAAGTTGACAATGGTGTACGTACATAAGATAGAACGATGACACCAGAGCTATGCCTGAAGAAAATAATGGCTGTAAAAATGTTCAGATGCTACCAATAATTTTGCATTAATTCAAATGATTCATTGATGAATGGACTTAATGCTAAATAAGCATGGGAAAAGTTGTCTGACTGCACTACAACACTGCCCATAAAGTTAGTTTATTGATCTTGTTATCACGTACTCCAGTTGCAAATAAACTCATGAACAGATGCTTCCCACTCCAATTAAAAGAAGCAAGAAAGACAGTTCCTAAAAAGTAGGAAAGAACCAGATTAATAGAACAGCAGTGTTGCAGAAAAAGATGCCTTGCTCTTCTGCAGAAGATCGTGAACAATTTGCTCTTCTCTCCTAATAAAAGTGCAATATGGGATTACACACAAGCGCTCACAAATTAAGCTACCGATAAAAGCAGACAGGAAAGCACAATGGCCATAAGTAGAAACCATTGCCACATTTACTTGAGATATCCATTTCAGTCCTCTCGTGGCTTTTAGATCATTACCACATGATGGCCTACATTATATAAAAGACACATAAAAGCACATGCTGCCTAAATATTTAGAGGAAGTCATGAAATGATGTTTTGCATCATGAATAACATGCTTTCAGCAGCAAGTAGACAAGAAGTCTTCTCAAGCTCCAAAAAGAACAACCTCCAAAACTTTTCCGAAGCGACAGCAAGATAATGAGAATGTCAGACCACATGTGCCAGATGATTCCTATCGTAAAATCTGTGTGTGTGTCTGTGCACATGCACATGCGCACACGTGAGACAGCACGATATGAAAAAGAATGACAAGAAGGTATAAGGAAAAAGCAAACCCATTCAGGCAAACAAGTACTTTCCTTAAAACAGATTTACCTGAGACTCCAATTCTTCCAATTTACGCTTCCTGGCATGAAGAGCTTTACTTGGAAAAGCCCAGAAATAATTGGAAGTTCCAATTCTATCAGTGTCCACCATGCCATCATCAACTAAGCTTTGCAGAATCTCTTTCACTGACATCGAGGCTAATAAAAGCAAAAATATCAAATTAGAACTGCATAGCACCTAAACTATGGAGAATTATGAATGCCATAAGCCCTCATCTACAATCATCTGTATGAATATTTTACTATAATGTCAGCTAGCTGGACAATTTCAAGAGGACACCATGCCTGATGCTTCACTTGAAGCAGTTTATACATAAAGGCTGCTATCCTATTGAGTCTGCTACCAGATGTTTGTAAAACACCGCTCATGAGTATCATAAAACATACATGCATATTACAGTACAATACCAGAACAAACTCATGAGAGGCTACTTGAGAAGTTGTCTTGCAATCTTAATTCTAACATGGATTAACTTACAATTTCTTGATTAGGAGTGTAATTAATTTTCACTTCGTAATGCTTATCAAAGCATTAAACAGCAGAAGAGGCACTAAAGCCATCTGTCTACAGACTCAGGAAGGGCAGATTTTACTTTTGATTATATTCAGTTCCAATACAGAAAGTCATCTGCAGTCAGAAGGATCCAAAACATTTCTGAACATTTTCTAGCGAATGTGTGGTATAATTCACCATTTTAAAAATTATACCTGTTCAACAAAGCAAAGTAGTTATTGTTATCCTCAAGCATTGCAGATATAAAGACTTTTGAGTTAATTAATGGTTTTCAGTGTCTGACTTTCAACTTCAAGTCTAAGGGGATCCCAGATCAGGAACATCCAATCTTTTGGAAGCTCTAGGCTGGATGCCAGTATGGGGGCGTTTCCGCAGGCTAGATGTTTTTCTTTTCAGAGGAACCGGGGCTTGGGTTGTGTGGCTAAATGCCTTCATATGCAGAGGCAGGACGAATTTGGACTATTCAAAGGTGTTAATGGTTTTAGAAACACTACACTCCAGATTTTTAAACATGGAAATTCCATTGCTTGTATTTACTATTTTGCATCCTCGTCCTGCAAATTACAATTAAACATACGCGTTGACAAACCAATCAAGACAGCATCACATCTCTTCAGAAGCCTACGAGTGCCTCTGTTAGCTGCTGACATAACTGAAAAACACTGCTTTGCAATATTCACATATGTCTGCAGTTCTTTCAATAAGTTCATTTACTCTTGCAGTGCCACAAAGATATGCTAGTCAAGGACAGTGGCAACTACACAAATGTTATGCTTCGTCCCCCTTTTGTCAGTGAACATAGAAGGAAGCAAAATGAGAAACATATAAAACAACTCAACAGCATAAGATAAATCCTCTTGGACCTAATCCTAAACCAATGGATCTCATCAGAAAGGCTTTCATTGAAAAGACAAACCCCTTCCCTTTACAACTGTCCAGCCATTTTTTCGGGGGGGAAGCTCAGCAGAACATTGACTGTGTACATTTGGACTAGCATTTTAAGATATTTGTGACATTACAGACAGACATTTGAATCCTCTGTTCACTACCCAAGTACACATAACAATTTCATAGACTGAAAGTCACTGCAAGTCAGGCATCTCAGAGCCTAAGAAAAACCCCATCCCATGTTTCAGTGGTTAACTTGGAGTTAGCTGTGACATTTTAATACTCTCCCATTTTGGCCCTAACACCTAACATAAGTGACAAACATCAGCAAACCGAGTAGGAGTATGCTGTTGATACCACTTTTAACGCTACAGCCCTGCCATTGACCAGTCTCCCTTTCTAGCTATTTTTTCTGTTATTATTACAGTCACAAACCAGGAAAATTTACACTGTATGACCTGTCCCAAAAATGATTAATGGCTCAAGAGAAAGAACTTTTGTAAACACTTACTAATCCCTTTTTCTTTTGGAGCAATCTTCTCTATATCCTTCAACTGGAACACATCTTTCTGTGCAAAACATAAAAGACACTTTAGCTCCAAATGACAGCATCATCTAAGCCTGAGTGTTTTTTACACTGAATCAATGCCAACAAAAGCAAGTAGGAAATACATTGTATGTTTATGTTTTGCTAGGGAAATAGGCTGCATATTCCTCAATAGAATTAGAAGATTCTGAGAATTCTTTTCTTTGGTACTCTAAAGTCACCGTATTTTGCCTGAAGTTAGACTGCAAACCCCTTAGGGCAGACAGAGCCAAGGGTAGATTGTCAGCACCAGATGCACCACATTGCTCAAGTACTCAAATGTCACAATAATTTTTTTACTAGGTGAAACATTGTGAATTACGTATGTCACCAATATAATTGTAGCTCAGCTTCTGGATCTCCAGGTTTCTTCTCCCCACTGACCTCTTCCAGGTCTGCTCTCATCTTTTCTAATGCTCAGATTTCTTCCTCCTCCCATAAACGGCAGGGGGATACTTCCTCACCTCTTGCTATCCCTCTTATGGTAACAGACTCAAAATGAGATTATTTGAATAGGGAGCACATGAAGCATTTAACACCACCTCTGCATCTTCGTGCCTTGGTTCCACCTGTGGATGAGCCACCTGATCAGAAGCTACATGAATCAAGCTCTGTCTGTGTAATGTACACATTGATGACACAGGGCATCAGTGAAATGCATATACAGAATAGGCAGATATAGATATACAGAATTCATCTACATCTAAGTTAAGCTCCTTTTGGGACCTGTTTTCCCATCGATGTTAACGCAGGACAATTACAAGTCACTTACTGTTTCAAAAAAGATCTCCATCATGCGAACTCTCTTCTCCTCAAAGCTCAGACCTTTTTTCTTGGACTAGAACAGGGGGAGAAAAAAAACCAAACACAACACATTCAGCCATTTGAATACTTAACATTTGCTCAGAATTCAAATCTGTTTACCTCTAAGTTATATTTGCCATCCTTTAAAATACCTTACCACTAACCCCAGACTTTCAGATAAACTGCTGCTTCCCAAAGCATCATTACACCAAGCTAATCCACCTGCAATCTATTAAACTGATGGATCTATCTTCTAAGTTTGGAGCTGACCTTTCACACAGCCTAATCCATCCCAAGCCTCAATGTTTCTTGGCATACCCAAACAGTTCCCTGTTTTACCTTACTAGATTAAAAATGTGTATTTATACCAATTCTGAGCAACTCACCCAAATGTTTAATAGTCCTTAAAAAGATAAGAAGGAATAGCTTTTGTTTTTTTGCTTAGAATTGTTTTTTATCTTGCGATATAGAGACACTGTGTGAGATATAGGCCATTTAGGTTTTTTTAAGGAGATAAAGAGCACTTTGAGGTACCACGTCTGTCTTCAAATTTCCTACCCAACTTTATAATTTCAAGCTCACATTTTTAAAACTGTGTTTCTTTTATTTCTTTTCTCTGCAGTTGTGTGACCAAGCAGTAAATAACATGGACTGAAATAGAAGCAAAAGGCAGAAGTGTTATACTCACAAACTGCTACCAGTAATATGAAACTGAGAAATATCCTCCTCTGATCACTTTCAGAGACACTATTTTGACGTGCCCCTTGTAAAATTAGGATATAAAATATTTCACAGAGAATTGGAGTTTTATTAATAGCGTTTAGCTTAGTCCTCAATAACCCAAAAGTGGTGGCCGTAAGGTGAATCAGGAACGTTTCCCCTTGCCCCACTCCCTGCTTCGCAGGCCGCGAGACCTGGCGCTGCTGCATGCGTCTACAGGAGACTGAAAGGGGGATAGAAAGAGCAAAATAAGATGCTGGCAGAAAAAGGTGTCTCTTTAAAAAAAAGGCAAAAGTATTGTTGCCCTTGAGTCAATGGGAGTGGGGAGTCCAATAACACGGTGCTTTAAGAAAAAGACGACATGGGTTTTTCCAAGCCCCGACAGAAGGGAGTCGATACCAATTTTTACTTCTTAACAGCTGCTTCCTTCTTAAATAAATCACACGGTAGGGCAGCATAAAATTTAAAATGTGCATCGCGAGCAAAATGGCCAGATTGATTTAGATTTCAAAAAATAAATTGAAAAACTAGTTTATGCAGCTACAATAACACACAGACATGAAGCAATTCAGTATTATATTTAACAAAAGCACTATTATTATTTTTTGAAGTCTCCTCCCTTCTGGCTTTAGCCAGAGATATCCTATGTCAGCAGTGATGTCACAGCTGTCTCCTATGACATCATATGTCGCAGGATTAGAACCTAGAGCCACCATGTATATGCAAATAGGAGCACGAACAGAAAACAGACTGATCTTCAACTTCTTTCTCCCTGCTTCCCCAACAGCCCAAACCCCAGCAACAGGAACAAACCCCATATGCGCACGGTGTGAAATCTAAGCAGCGTTTCTGAAAGCACATGCTTATTAGCTACGTCCCTCAGGCACCAAGTTTCAGACCAGCACTCTGACAAAACAGAGAGAAGTAACAAGTCAATGTGTTTTCTAGATAAATTTGATTAATTTTCACATTGGTTTCTCTCTCCTACCTCTTTGCCAGGTGTTCCACACCACATACATAAAACC